TTAATCTTTTAGAGGGGGAGGGTGGGAGGGGTTATAATGTCAAGTGGGCATTATTCATTAAAAAAACATTAAGAATATAAAAGGATTGGGGTAACCCTTTAAATGGATTCTATACACACCAAAACTACTTTAGCTTAATGATGCAGTTTTAGAGTACAGATTATGTCCCCGTATTCTCACTGCTCAATTCTCTGTCATTTAGGGAGAAATAAGGCAGACATCTGCCATGGTCCCTAATACTTTGCACTGACATTTTCAGTAGTAGAGAGAGGATTGGTGACCTTTAAATTGAAATGTAAGCACATTTTTATGTGCGTTTAATAAATGTGATTACCTTACACACATTTCTTTCTAATATTCCTGGTTTCGTTGGGAAAATGAGCCCATGGCAGCAGGGGATCTTGTCTACTGGAGTGATTGCTAAATCATTATAGTGAAAACGACACTTATTCTTCTCCTTTATTGTGAGTGCATTTATACCTTCATCGTTTATCATGCTATACTGGTGTTTTGTTATACTGTATGAATATTTATTTTCCTTTTTCATACACTGTAATGTACTCAAGAGGACAAGCCTCATACCAATACCGAACCAAAAAGTACCTGCATGGCTTTGTTATTTTGGATTAATCACATGCACATGTTTTATACTCTTAACATACATATCTATCTATCTATCTATCTATCTATCTCTCGATCTATCTAATAACGGTTTTACTGTTTTAAGTGTGTATGGTACACTTATTGGCTGTTGCAGACATACAGCCGGTTCTGGTTATAAACAATTAATCAAAGCCCATTTATAATTTTATTTGTTACATTATAGCAAAAGAAAACACTACAGAGAATAATAGAACTATATAAAGTCATGCCCCCCACCCACCTTTCTCCCACTAAATTACAGGGGCATGTTTTCTTTATTTATGAACACATATTTCTCTATGTTATACATAAATGTATTCACAAGCATGCAGACATAATACAATCTAGAATGTTATTTTCACTAAGCACATATCTGAATTGTTAATATATCTTTTGATATCTATTATGATTTTATGGGCTCAAACTAATTATTTCTTAATCTGCAATTCAAACTGTTACTTCATACTTAATATATGATGTACCTAAAAATGGATTCCTCTTGTCTTAATGAGAACATTATGTTCTCGCTTTAGTATGAGTTTATAAAAAAATAGCTAAGTGTCTGTGATAGCCAGCCAATACAAGAAGAAGGGACAGAGAGATTATTGTGTCCTCTCAGAGCCTCTTGTCTTTTTTATGTTGTTTATTTAATTTCTGATCTGAAAGCTATATAATTTAAATGCGTTTTGTGGTCAACTTTCAGATATGACCAAAAATTTCAACCTTTATTTCAAAGTTTATAGCGTAGTAGAAAGAAAAACAAATTAATTTACTCTGCACTGAATAACATGTTTCCGTAGTCCTCTTCAGACATCACTGGTCCGGTATAAAATATAAATGCATTGGTATAATGATTTTAAACTACAAAAACATTGCATTACTTAATTTCAGAACGTAATGAAGGCTGCTCTAATCCTCAGTAATGACAAAGAGTAATAAAAAATAGGGAAAAATATGTAAATAGCAAATACATCAATAAGGAAGCACAGTTATACTTTACAGAACAAGACATAAAATATCAACCAACTGTCGTATGCACTCTGTATGGAAAGGCAAAAAGAAATGTATTACCACATACTTGAGCTGGCCAGCTATATGCTATTTACCGGTATTATCTGCTGCTTATCTGCATGATATCCATAAAAGCCCATTCTAATTACAAATTCTGGAATGCCTTAATGTAGCAAGGGACTTGCTATGCCCCAAAACTGCTAAATGTATTGCCATGTAACTTGCTTTAAACTACTAAAACATATAAAATAGTTGAACTATCATCCTGGGAAGAATTAATGGAGCAGAGAGCATTTTACTTCATGAAAGAAAGTTTGATATTTGAAGAGCTGTCATGAACATGTAATTTAATGTTATTGTTTCTTTAAACAATTTTGTTCTTTCCGCTTAAGTTCACAGGTCTACTGATAATAAGCAGCCTATTTAAAGGATCACTATAGTGTCAGGAAAACAAAGCGGTTTTCCTGACACTATAGTGCCCTGGGGGTGCCCCATCCTCAGGGCCCCCCTCCCCGGGCGGCTGAAGGCGTTAAAACCCTCTCAGTAGCTTACCTTATTCCAGCCTTATTCCAGCCAGGTGCTGGTGACCTCTCCTCCCCCGCCAAAGTGTCCATAGGAAAGCATTTCTCAATGCTTTCGTATGGATGCTCTGCACGATGGAGGCATAACATGCCTCCAGCATTGCAGATGTGCCTCTAGTGGCTGTCCGGTAGACAGCCACTAGAGGTTGGATTAAGCCTGCAATGTAAACATAGCAGTTTCTCTGAAACTGCTATGTTTGCATCTGAAGGGTTAAAACCTGAGTGACCTGGCACCCAGACCACTTTATTGAGCTGAAGTGGTCTTGGTGACTATAGTGTCCCTTTAAGGTTATCCTGTCAGTGAACCTGTACACTTGTAATAATCTGACACCAGCCTGTTATGCTCCTGTGCCTTGCATGTTTCTACTAACTAATTTTTCAGGTCTCAAAATCTCCAGCTGAATGCAGAACTGATTTTCCACTTACCTCACCAGGGTTCCTTCAGAATCTACAAATTGAATACTCATGTTGTTTCCAGCATTTCTCCATTTGACTTCAAATATTTATAACTCAGCTGCTGAAAGCTAAATTGATTCTATTTATTTGTTCTCAACTATAGCCTGCCAGTTTACCAGCATGTATATTTGTTTTTTCCTGCAAAAAGCGATGGGAATCACTTTTTGCAGGAATCACTGACTTGCCTTTAAGATTTGGATAAATCCACATTTTCTGTAACTTTCTTACATTTAAACAATCTGCCATAAACTTTGTTTGTTTTCTAAATGTATTACTTCTAAGAGGCTAATTAATTTACAAGGTAAACCTATTTCTTTTAGCAAGGACTGCTTTCTTTTTTTATATATATTGTTCAAAATCAGGTTTATATATATGTTTATTTTATCTCAATTTTGACAATAAAAGTCTCTGTAATTTGATATACTATTTCCCTGCTTGATCTGTAAGGAACATGGGTGAATATGACAAGAGCTGAATTAAAGTTATTGGGAGCAAATGCAGTTTAAAAGTCAAATACTCTGAGCACCTGCAGAAGGAGCTATACCTTATATAATGATACACAAGCTATTTAAAATGGGTGTCACAATAGCAACACCATTAATCATATTTAATAAATGTGTGTTTTTCGGACTGGACTATGTTTTTAATGTGTTTTATTGTCATGTGTCATATTCAGCTGGTGAAGTCAAAGTACGTTTGAATTGTGTATGAGTATTTTCCCATCACTTCAAGGTTGAAATGTGGGGTATGTAGGGCAGCACCCCTCCAGAGAATTGCTGTCAAAATAATAAAAATAAAAAAGGGTGGCAGTGATAAAAGAGAGAATGACTGGAAAAGGGTTAACATGTAAATTTCCATTATCAATAGTAAGCAAACACAGCACTGCTTCCACTACAGCACAGATCGATCCACTGATAATGAATGATGACTGTTTGTATGAGCTGCTGAGGGAAACTGGGCATGTGCAGAATGTAGGTTGATTTTAAAATTTGCCAAAAGCATCTTTGTAAAGATGGTGATAAAAGCTAGGCCTGTGAGGCACAAGTGTCTTTGAAAAGACACTGCATGTAGAGGCATTCATTTCTGTATGGAAGATGGTTGGGGTCCATAGTTCTGGAGGAGAAGGGACAGACAACGTAGTGGGACAGGTGAGGTCCCTAAGTTGTGGACCTGCCATCCCCTAATTTCATTACACTAGCTGTACAAGGCAGTGTGAGGTCACAAGTCCATCATTAAGAACTCAATTATTAAACTATATATAAAAAAAATTGGATATCCAAGATCTAATTACAGGAATAACGCATTTATTTACAATTGAAAAAAAATTGCTACATTTTGATTTAAATCAGCTAAAAGAGAATGATCCAGCTCTAATTACGTTATTTTTCTATTGGAAAAAGAGAGCTGGATTAGGAGAACTCGCAAAGGGGACGGGGGTAGGGGGCAATAGCCCATGGCTACTATCAGACACGTTTTGTGAGTTGCATCTGTTGATGAAAAGCAAAATGTGTCGGTGGAGAACTGCAGGGGTGAAGCAGCAGTCAGGGTTTGTGCAGGCTCTTTGTTAACCTGGCACTCTCTCAGCTCGTGCTTGAGCTGGTATATAATGATTAAGTATGATATGTAGTTGTTTGCAACTGGCTACTGGTGAGATCTGAAATAGGTGTGAATTGAGTCAAAGAAAAAATGGTTGCTCAGTTTGACATGTACAGATTTCTATAAATGCTCTTTTATACTATGCAGGTCATACTGATGGATGTTGCTAGTATATATGATGTCACACTGCGTGCATCCAACAGCATTCACCTGTCAATACCAGATATTGGTTGCACTGTGCAAGTAGGACCAGCTACAAATAGATTTGGAAGTTTTGTGGGTAAAATGGCCATTTGTTTGTACCTACCCTCCAGGCTAATGGTTGCGAGCCCTACCCTGCCTTTTAGCAAATTTTCGGCAATTCCATTACCTGTTCACTACAATTTGCTTTGTATTAAAAAAGATCTAGGTTAAGAATATTAATTCCATGTTAGCTAAACAGAAAATAATTTTGCAAAAGACCCTCAGAACTGAGAAAGCCTCCTTCTTCCTAGTGAGGGCTCCGGCGGGGAAAGGAAAGGAAGTCCCTATCCAAGATGGCAGTGAGCACCGCTCGGATAAAAATGCATCCTCCCTTCCTCCTTCCCCGAGCTCAGCCTCAGAGGAGGTTATGAGAACTGTCTGACAAGCTTCAAGCAAGCATTACAGCATAGATCCACACACTCACCACGGACCTCCGCAAAGAACTCCTGGAAATAGGGAGCAGGACGGCCCATGTGGAGAAATCGCTTGACGACTTCACAGTGGCACACAACAGCCTGGCAGACCTCTCTAGAAGCACAAAAACCAAAGGTAGCAGACCTGGAAGATAGATCCAGGAGGAACAACCTCCGTTTCAGGGGAATACCGGAATCCGTTCAGAATACAGACCTGAACAAATATCTGACCGACCTGTTCCAAGAATTAACCCCATCTACGCATCCTGACCTCCTGGTGATCGACAGAGCCCACTGCCTACCCAGGCCAAATCACCTACCCTCCACAACCGCAAGGGATGTTATAGCCCACATCCACTTCTACCATGTGAAGGAGCGCATCACAAAGGCCTGCAGAAACACAGCCCTTCCCGAGCCATATTCCAGCATCAAAATATTCGCGGATCTGTCTGCCACCACGCTGCAATTCCGAAAATCGCTGGCCCAAGTTACAACCACCCTCAGATCCAATGACATCGGATACCGATGGGGATACCCGGCGAAGTTGCTGATACAGAACCAAGGAGTGATACACGCAGTGGTGACTGAAGCAGAAGGCCTGAGAAAACTGCAGGACTGGGGTATACCGATACCAAGCTCCCAAGCATCCTCCCAGGCTAAGGTCCCCAGACTGACACAGGACTGGACTCAAGCCTAAGGCCTGACTGCCCTCTCCTGTAGGGTATTGTATACAAGTGCACACATATGCCTATGTGATGTTCAGACTTTATGTTTTAATTGTTGTTCAAATGTTTTAAATTGATAGCTTCTATATATAGCCTCTATGGTTAGAATACGACACTGCCTAACTTACTGAAATAGCCAGATATTAGTACATAATAGAGCGCAAAGGCGACTTGAATTTCAATTTAATAAAAAAAATAAAAATTAAATTGAACTCCTATAATACCCATTACCTAGGAGCACATATGGTAGTTCGCTAAAGATGCTGTAAACATATCGGTACGGCATCCAACTGTCTGTGTACTCACCCTTCAGCTTCCCAGAAGCCCAGACTGGGCCCTAAGACCTGAGTGCCTCCATCCAGACTATGGAGACACTGGAAACCACCCCCGGCTCGTGTGGGTCTGGATGAACATTAGCTCACCCGCCATTGCGGGAAGTTCTCCCCCCTTCCTGGTTCCCCCCCCCAGGTCCCATTCTGCATCACAGTTTTCACTAACGACATCGTACACGCATATAGCAGTTCACTGTGGAGACAATCAACCACTCCCTACTCTGACACCCAAGAGGACAAGGAATCAACACTCCTTTAGAGATCTTACAAACCACCGTATATGATGTTAAGGGGCTCAATTACCCCAGTAAACGGAGTCTACTACTTAGGGACCTAAAGAAAGAGCGGGTAGATGTTGCATGTGTGCAAGAGGCCCACTTTAAGAGAGACCACACTCCGGCCATATTTCACTGCCCAACCCAATTCCATGCGCTCTCTGAATCCAAAACTAAGGGAGTCTCCATCCTCCTCCATAAAGACACATCTCTAACTCTCCATAAGAAAATTATAGACCCTCGAGGCAGGTTTATTATCCTGGTGGGCCTATTTAATAACGCCCCATATATCCTTGTAGCAGCTTACTTTCCCAACACTGATGCTACAAAATTCCTACGAACCCTTCTCCTGGCCGTGGCTATAGTAGGGGGTCTCTGTGGCAAACCTAGCCACTTGTGCATTATTTACGTACTGTCGCTTTAAGGGTTGCCTGTATGCTTTTCGTGTTATGTGTGTTCCAGCGTATAATGTAATGCAATTGTGTAACTGTATTTCCAGCATTGGCTATCTGCCGAAAGCAGATAGCTGATTTCCTTTCGTTTCACGAACGGCACCTTTGCGGGCCGTTCGTGAACCGAATGAACTACCATTTAATAGCCCACACACTTAGAGGTGTGTGGCGCTTGTTAACCGATTGCAACAATGTTGCAATCGGTAATTAGAGGCTCTCCAAGGTGGCCGTCGTCGTTCAACTACCGACCATGCGGCGGTCAGCCATCTTGGATCCTTTGTTCCCTCAGCGGTGTTTGGTCGTCGAGCGCATGGTACTAAAAACGGCTACTCGACGGCACGAACACCGCTGAGCTTCCAGGCCGTTCTGGAGTTCCGGGCCGTTCGGTATCCTGTTCCCTTGCATGCAATCGGTCTTTTGAAGATATGTTTTAATGAATGTGTTTTTCATGCGGCGTTCGGTTGTTTTAGCTGGGATCTGAGCCGTAATCTCACGAATGATGCGCTCAGACCCCAGCTATCTACCGAACGTCCATTCGTGCAAATAGACCGTATATTCAAAGAGTTATACATTTTAATATTAATTGTCGGTTCAGCTGCACTGAGGGATAATCCACTTAATGGTACATTCCTGTGGGAGGATCCCTCTCGTGAAGCAGTGCCTGATGGGAGAAATGTCTTGTACAATAAGTCCCCCATGTAGTCCCCTCTGGGAATGCCCCTGGGAGGGGACTCAGGAAACCCCTTGCATGGGGACTTGTATAAATTGTGGAGCTGAAAATAAAGACCTCAGTTGACTCCCAGCCTATGTGTCGTCTAGTACTGCAGGATAGGGGACATCACCTGGTCAGACCACAGTCCGGTGCACCTCCAACTACACGATACATTTCAGTTCAGAGGCCAAGTGCAGTGGCACCTTAACGAATCCCTATTGGTGGATGAGACCTTCCGGGACCTAATCCAGACCACACTAACAGACTACTTTCAAACGAATGGGTCGGGGGAGACCACAGAGGGTATAGTTTGGTGCGCCCATAAGGCTCTTTATTAAGTGGTCCTCCTATCTCAAGAAACGCAACCAAAACAAACTAACGGAGGCATACGCACAACTAGCCGAACCTAACGCAAAAAACAAAGCCCAAACCACACTAGAATATTTAATTAAAATAAACAAGATACACACAATTATCGCCAAGCTACAGGCGGAAAAAAAAAATAGCCTTCTTTATAAGTTTAGGGCTACTACATACCATACATCTGGCAAGGCCACTAAGCACTTAGCAGCCAGGCTCAGAGCACGACTGAAGCAGACCAAGATACCCCATATTCTTGATGACGATGGGAACAAACACATAGACCCGCAAGCAATAAGTAAAGTGTTTGCTACTTTTTACTCCAAACTGTATAACCTCCATACGGACGTGTCGATACCACATTCCCAATCCTTAGATGCGGCACAATACTTAGCGGACATTACCCTGCCCAAGGTATCAGACGACCAATACCAAGCCATGATACAACCTATAACAGTCCAGGAAATCACCCACACTATTAAACAGCTCCCCCCGGGAAAGTCCCCGGTTGCAGATGGCCTCTCTAACGCATACTACAAGGAATTCGGCGATTTACTGGCGCCACAGCTCCTGAAGGTGTACCAGCAGATGGCTACTAAAGGCAGACTGCCTCCGGAGGTGTTGCTGGCTACAATAGTGACGATTCCTATATTCTTACTTAACACGGATGCAAAAATCTACGCAAAACTACTTGCAAATAGACTGAATACAATCCTGCCACACTTGATCCATGACGACCAAACGGGCTTCGTGAAGGGCAGACAGGGCCTGGATAATACACGGAAACTAGCCATTATCCAATGAGAGCTCGGGAGGTCGGGCCGAGGGGGTCTTCTCCTAGCACTGGACGCAGAGAAAGCTTTTGACCACCTCAGCTGGGCCTTCCTGGAGCAAGTACTGGCCAAGTTTGGATTTCCCCAACAGACGATTCAACAGATTTTTGCGCTCTACTCCTCACCCTCAGCTCAGGTGAATCAGGCGGACTTCCTATCCCCCACTTTTAACATTACAAATGGGATGAGGCAGGGATGTCCCCTGTCTCCACTGCTATACGTCCTCGCACTAGAACCCCACCTGCACCTTATAAGACAGAATGACACAATTCAGGGAATACACGCTGGCCCAAGTTACAACCACCCTCAGATCCAATGACACTATTACAATTGCTTAAAGACTACGGACGGGTATCATATTACTCAGTCAACGCGGCTAAGATGCAGGCTCTACCTGTCGGTATTCCAGCCCAGGTGCTCCGCACCCTTGCTCACACCTACAACTTTGATTGGAGGGTGGAATCCATAAAATATCTGGGATTGACAGTTACCAAAAACCCTGCAAACCTTATTGCGGCAAATTATATCACAGTGTAATCAGTTGATGAAACAATGGTCGCCACTGTATTTGTCCTGGACAGACCGCATAGCGACACTGAAAATGTCCATACTGCCAAGACTGTTGTACCTGTTCCGTACGCTCCCCCTCCACCTCCCTCCCTCATATTTTAAGACAATACAAACCGACATGGGAAGATTCGTGTGGGCGAGTGGCAGGGCCAGGGTGTCGGCGGCTACTATACAAGGCCCCAAGAAAATGGGAGGTCTAGCAATGTCAAATGTCCAAACCTATTACTACGCAGCAATATTGGCAACAGCTATCCCTCACATTGTCACCGAGCCCAGTCCACAATGGGTTTCACTGGAACGAGACCTATTGGGCACCCACGACATCCTACACCTACTTTGGACACCCCTACACTTCAGGCCTGCTAATCCCCTACTCTCTACACAAATGCTACTGTTGTTTCAGATATGGGATAAATACAGACCCAGATTGGGCAACACCCCCGGTCTTTCTCTGGCGAACCCCTCAAGGCCTTGCCCTACATTATGCCCACATTTAATGCCGCACTGTGGTATCAAAGAGGGGCAACACACCTATACCATCTCTTTTCTGCTGACAAACTCCTGGACTACCCCAGCCTAGTGGATAAATTTGCACTCCCGCACTCCTCGCTTTACTCATATCTACAATTAAAATCCTACCTGTCCAGGGAAGCGACACGTTACCCAGGCACCCCCAGGGACACCAATAGGATTACCGTATAGGAACAAATGTGTTTATCTGCAAAATTACTACGACATTGTAAACCGATCTCCACATGCCTCGGCTCCATAGCTACAATCACTTCACCACCAAATATGCCCGACAATGGGAGAGTGACCTAAACTGTCCAGGGCCACTTAAATCTTGGGATACAATCCTCACCGACCCACTCAAATTACTAAAATCGTCAGCCCACATAGAACAACACTGCAAAATATTATACCGATGGTACTTAGTGCCAACAAGGCTACAAAAAATCTTCCCCTCCACTTCCTCACAATGTTGGAGATGCCATACATAGGAGGGCTCGATGTACCATATCTGGTGGAGCTGTCCACGGCTACTTAGCTACTGGACCGAGGTCCATGCATTAATCCAAGACGTTACCCAACAATCCCTCCCATTTACCCAGCTGACATGCTTAGTGCTTGATCTCCCCAGAGATATGCCCCAACACATCAAGAAAATTATGTTACACATTGCCTTATATCCTGTAGGCCCCTCTGCTGCTGTCAAAATAGCTCTGATCCATCAAGTTGAGAGGTGTGGCCTCCATGGATCGGATTTGTTGCTCCAGTGCATCCCACAGATGCTCAATTGGAATGAGATCTGAGGAACTTGGAAGCTAAGGCAACATCTTAAACTCTTTATAATGTTCCTCAAACTATTTTTGAACAATTTTTGAAGAGTGGCAGACTGTATTGTCCTGCTGAAAGAGGCCTCTGCCATCATGGGACC